TCGCTGCAGCAATGGTGTCTGTTGTTCTTGCTGCTCCCAACCATGTTGTCATCTTGTCCAGTGTCTTTTCCCTCTGTCTGCCTCTGCCTCTCTTTCCATCAAACTTTCCTGTTGTGACAATATTCTCTAATGCTTCTTTCCGCATTGTGTGTCCGAAGAAATTTGCCTGTCGTTTTCTTATATTCGTGATAATTTGTTTTCTATAATTTGCTTCAAACATTTCATAGTATACGTATTTAAAAACAACAACTTTTAAAGGCTCTAAAAGAAAGAAAACATTGAGAAAATAGGTATGGATAATGAAGTTAGGCTTTTTCAGACATTGGAGTGACCAGAATGTGCGTCTTCGATGAGTTAAAAACAGTTTTGTGAGGCAGCGTGGTAGAATCAGGCTCTCGTCTAAATAATCAAAGTGAAAAAACTTGCATTTTTTCACAGGTTTGCGAATTTTTATCAAAATATTGTTTTTTGGCTCAACACCTTTAAGACTCATTAAAAAACATTGATTAAAGGCACAAAAAAAATGTACATTTTCAATTACCACGGACTCTTAAGCTAAGGAAATAACTAATCTTTGGCTGCCATTTTCTCACTAATTTTACCACTGGAAACAGGTGACCCCCCACCTCCTTCATTCACAAATATCTCGACTTGTATTCAAAATAAATGGATATTTTTTCTACCAAATAAAGACAAGTGAACAAGATTTAAGATGATACCAATAACTCTACATGTCCACAAATTGACGAGACCTGTTTCCGCCACGCTGCCTCACGTATAGAGTCTAGTCACCTTATAGTCCGGCCTGATGAAAGCCGTGTCCACAACCCCTAGGTTCAGTCGTCCAGACTGTCCAGCATGGCCTCGCAGTCGTTGACGTCACCGGTCAGGTTGTTTTTTGCGTGCAGGAGGACATTGCGCATTTTCCTGGCAATGACAACAGGACGATCGGTTGTGGGGGTCGTTGAGGTGTGGTGCAGCTTGTTGTTGCTGTTGTTGTTGTTGTTGTTGTTGTTGTTGTTGTTGTTGTTGTTGTTGTTGTTGTGTTGTTGTTGTTGTTGTTGTTGTGGTTGTTGTTGTGGTGGTTGTTGTTGTTGTGGTCGTCGAGGTGTGGTGCAGTTTGTTGTTCCCGCGGTTTTACCCCCCCCCCACAATAATTCTGAAATTAAGCAAACTGGGATATAAAATGTGGAAATTATGCGATTCTGGTAGTTTTAACAAAGAATGATACAGGAAAAAATCAGAAATTATGCAAAAAACTATCCAATTTTGTTACATTATACGGGGTGCATATAACCCTGGGGACAGCATTATGTCTTGTATTTATTCTGTAGAGTATTGACCTAAGTCATAGTTTGACCAACGTATAGGCTGACGAGCAGATGAACGTAAGAACGACATTATGCACGTGTTGGTGAATACCAGGACACATTGAATAATGACAAGAGGTTTTAATAAATGTGAGACGTGCTGACAAAATGAGTTACTTCTCGCAATTCACAAATGGAGATATTGGCAAAAACTCAACACCGAGGTCAAATTAGTAGATCTTCGAATGATGCTCTACTTTTATGTAGAACATGCTTCTTATTATTTCATACTTATAAACTGTAAAACGTCACTACAAGCATGATGTTTCTACTTCCATAAGGCTTGAATTAGGGAAGTGACTCATTTATTTTGTCAGCACACTTCACAAATAGCATATTTTGTATAGTGGTAATTCCCGCTCAACAGAAGCTCTATGCGCTTTACAATCTATTATCTATTTGTGGTGGCCCAATTTTGCTATTCAAAAGGCTTTTTAATGGCTTCATAGATCGACATGCAAGTTTCGCCATAAGATTCTTAAAAATACTCACCAGATCATAACGCCCTTCGTTTTTTCAGTTTTGAAACAGTTTTGCTGCAAAAAGCTAAATTTCTTTATTTCGCCGATCGCATTTGTAGGCCGACGCTTCCCTCTCTGTAATTTTAGAAAATCCGGTGCGGAAGTAATATTTTGCGAGGCGCATTTTGTTTTGAGAGTATAGATCTAGATCTAGATTCTAGACCTTTTAACTTTTTGCATCTCTCAAGATTTATTGCTCCATTCCAGTAGAGTGTAAATATATTAGGCCATTACTTTCAGTTGATGTTAATGCACCGATCATTCCTTTCATCAAAAGGGGGCCCAGCTAGTCTATATTATTACCCCAAAAGATATATTGATAGCATTCTGAAGCAATCTCAACCTCCCAGGAATCATGCAGTGCAAGCCGCTATTTTGCAGGAGCGAAAACACTACCTAATAAAGGGACAAAATCGCTGAAGTGAGGAAAATTCGTATAAAGTGCCTTTCCCAAGAACACAATGTCGGGCCTGAGGCTCACGCACCCGAAAACGCAACCTCATCAAATGATAGCCAATCAGAGATGTCGACGGATAGATAAATAGACTGATAGATAGATAGATAGATAGATAGATAGATAGATAGATAGATAAGTGGATAGATAGATAGATAGATAGATAGATAGATAGATAGATAGATAGATAGATAGATATAAAGATAGATAGATAAGTAGATAGATAGACAGATAGATAGAATCCGTATCACAGATAGACCCTCCCCTGGCTCCCGGCCGTATACAGTTTGGCATTCTCCTTGTTTCAGTTTGTTTCAGTAGAGGTTTTACGGCGCTCGCAACTACATTAGGTCATATGAGCGCCAGAAGATTAGAGGTGTTACAAGAGAGTAACAAACAGATTTAAAAAAGAAGGGAAGATAACGACGATAGATGTTTGATAGGAAAGAAGAAGTAAACCACTCCAGAGCACCCGCCAACCACCCACGATGCTCTCACTCACCTTAGCTGGCTTCTGGACAACTGAGACCCATCCATCCCACTCTGACCACCGGAATCGGTAGGGTCTGTAACGTCTGTTACAATTTCCGCAGACGCAGTAGTAGCGGCGTCCTGTCCTGCTGCAGTGGTTCCCAGTTCTGTCAATCAATCAATCAATCAATAATTCAGTCAATCAATCAATCAGCCAGTCAGTCAGTCAAACAGTCAACCAGTAAACCAACCAATTGATCAATCAATCAACAAATCAATCAAACAATCAGACAATCAATCAATCAATCAATCAATCAATCAACCAATCAATCAATCAATCAATCAATTAACCTTAAATGAGTACTAGCACTGTATAAACAGGGATAATTTGTCTACCAGCAAGCGACTCTGTCCCACACTCAAATCATATTTTTGTAAAAGAGTAGGCCTATTTATTGAAAAAGAATCTTTTTTCTCACCAGTGTCTTGACCGCAAAATCTTGATTGTGGTACTGGTACTTCCTCTCAAGACACACACACACACACACACACACACACACACACAGAGACACTCACAGACATACACACTCACACACACACACACATACACACACACACACACACTCACACACACACACACACACACACTCACACACACACACACACATACACACATACACACACATACACACACATACACACACACACACATACACACACACACACACACACACACACACACACACACACACACACACACACACGCACACACACACACACATGGAGACAGAGACAGAAAAAACAGATGTAGGTTTTTACCGTCCAGTCTCGCTTGCAGCTCAGCTGTACACTCTTCCAAGTCCTCGTGTAGTCCCTGCAGGAAGACATAGTAGTAGATCGCACATTACACTAGATCTGGGCGAAGATAGTAAATAACAAGATGGTCCACTCAGCCAAAAAAGTGTCCGCAGGAAGTATGCTCTTTGCTTCAGATGGCGCTGCAGTCTGTTTTGAAGCTCTCTTTCGTTTTTCCAGAAGAAGAATAGGAATAGCACCTCCTTGTGTGCGCAGATCGACTGCTGTTCATCAGCAGTTCGGGTTCGTTCAGTACAGAGTTTTAGTTTTTTTTAATTTTAATGACCTCTCGCCTTTCATTCTAAAGTCAAATTAAATGAAGAAAACAATCACCCTTTCCTCCGGAAGAGTTTTTTTGTCAGCGTAACCATTTTAAAAAAGCGTTCTTCTGAAATTCATTCAAAAACTTGCTAGTTTCACTTTGATTTTTTAAACTCAAGTAGGATAACTCTGTTCGCTAAAGGTGCGCTTTTGTGAAGAGGGCGCCACCGAATTTTGAGGACACTTTTTTAATTGGCTCAAAGAGAGAAGTGGCCCCTCTTGTTATGTAAACTCCTTGACCTGAGCGGAGAGTCGATTCTGGAACCGATTCCTACGATTAATACGGAAATAAAGTTCCGTCTCCTTTTTACGTAAACCAACGGTTACCAGTTACTTTATCATTAAAATCTTTTTTTTTAAAGAATTTATTTTTTGAAAATTAGAAGTTGATGCTTCGTAGTATTCCGAAATCAAGTTTATCCTAAATCCTGAAGATGTTCGGAGCCAACCAGGTAACCACCGGAAGAAATCACATCGTTAGAAAGTAAGTAATTGGGATATGCGCTATACAAATGCTATTTATTATTTTATTATTTATGATTAAGAAATAGGCTATCACTATCATGTCTAACACCAGGCAGTGTCCTTGCCGCCACTCTTTGCTTACCCCCGGGGCGGTGCTTCCGACTGGAGTGTTTTTAGGCCGTTCCCAAAGGGGGGGGGGGGGGGGGCATTACCATCTCGAGTTCTTATGCACAGTAGAATTGTGAATTGTAAATGGGCTGATTCTTCAAAGTCATGGTCATGACTGTGCCTGAACTGCAACAGGGAACTGCTGCTTTTTCTTTTCTAATCCTTACTACTTACTATCGTCATTTTCCCTTACTTCTTTTGTATGTTTGTCACACTCTTGTGATCCGCTCTTTTCGGGATGCCTTGATAGTCGAAGCAGACCTTGTGCTGTTGAAGCTAGAGAGGTGAGCAGAGTAAGTCTGATTCCCTGTAAGGACTTATTCTCTGTTGACATCCACCCCTTGGTGCTCATATGACCTTATGCAGTCCTGAGCGCCGTAAAACCTCTACTAAAACTAAAGCTCTTTGCTCTACATAGAGTCAGTCTGTCATTTGGTTCCAAAAGTGAAACGAAGCAAATATTGCTCTCTGTGTAGAGCCAGTATTATGTTAGAGTACACAGTTTGGGATATTAGAATATCAGAAGTCTGTGGATGGCGTCAGCCTTCGTCTTTGGGTCAATTTTGTTTTTGCAAGAAACGACACACTCTTCTGGCGTCAAAATTTGAAAGGGTGTTGCATTCAATATTTCCAAAAACTTGGCAGAGCCAAATATCCATAATTTTGGACTTAAGAATTGATGATGTCTGTAGACCTACATCGATGTCTAACGCTGGGAAGAGGGAACATAATTCCTAGATTTAATGCCTGCAGACGTACATCGTTGTCAAAAGGTGGAAACAGGGAATGTAGATCCCAACTTTAATGCTTGTAGTAGTCTGTAGACCTCCATCGATTTCTAACGCTGGGAACAGGGAATATACATCCTAACTTTAATGCCTGTAGACCTCCATCGATTTCTAACGCTGGGAACAGGGAATATACATCCTAACTTTAATGCCTGTACTGTAAACATTGTTGTATAAAGGTGGGAGCAGGGAATATAAATCTTCTCTGTAATGTCTGTAAACCTCCATGGTTGTATAAAGGTGGGGACAAGGAATATAAATCATAAATGTAATGTCTGTAAACCTCCATGGTTGTATAAAGGTGGGGACAGGGAATATAAATCACAACTTTAATGCATGTAGACCTAAATCGAATTCTAACGCTGGGAACAGGGAACATCATGCTCAGACATACATCATTGTCTAAAGGTGGGGACAGAGAAAATAAGTCATAACTTAATGCCTGTAGGCACACATCGTTTTCTAACTGCCTGGACAGGGAATATAATAAATAATATCTGTGTAAATTACAGTGTAATGCCTGTAGACCTACATTCTTGTCTAAAGGGGGGGGGGGGCAGGGAAAATAAATCCTAAATGTAAAGTCTGTAAACCTACATGGTTGTATAGAGGTGGGGACTGGAAATATAAATCATATTTGTAATGTCTGTAGACCTACAGCGTTATCTAAAGATGGGAACTGGGAATATAAACTCTAGCTGTAATGTCTGTAGACCTACAGCGTTATCTAAAGGTGGAGACTGGGAATATAAACTCTAGCTGTAATGTCTATAGACCCACAGCGTTATCTAAAGGTGGAGACTGGGAATATAAACTCTAGCTGTAATGTCTGTAGACGCACATCGTTGTCTAACAGTCGAGACAGGGAATATCTCTACGCATTATATTTGTGAAAGTTCTTCACTTTGGCCATCTAAAACTTCCGAACCATTTAGCTTTCGAATTTGACCAAATCAATGGTGGTTCAGAATCATTAAAAGAGTGCACAGTTTTATTGAGGAGCCTGAAGTCACTGTAGTTTAATTTTCAGTTTTTCATCAGTTTCGTTTAGATCAAATCTTGGGAAAGTCCTTCTTCTAACTCACCATTGTAAACAAGTGAGGCTTCCGTTCACTAGCCGTGCGCACTCATTCCACACCTTTGAAATTCTCGAGTGTACAACCACAAGAGCGGAATAGAGAATCAATCTAAACGTCTGTTATATATTTGAAACACATGCGTCGCTTTTCACTCAAGATTGATAGCTCTATTCCAGTGGAGCGTAAATATAGTAGGCCAATGACTTCCAATTGATGTTAATGCAACAATCATTTCTTTCATGTGGGTGGTTGGCGGGTGCTCTGGTGTGGTTTGCTTCTTCTTTCCTATCAAACATCTATCGTCCTTTTCTCCCCTTCTTCTTTTTTATGTTTGTTACTCTCTTGCAACACCTCTAATCTTCTGGCGCTCACATGACCTTTTGCAGTTGCGAGCGCTGTAAAACCTCTGCTAAAACTAACTTATAATAATTTTGTCAGTGCCCATTTTGTCACCGCGGGTGTTGCTTATCTTATTTTAAAAAGACCCCCCCCCCCCCCAAAATCCCCCAACTAAACTAATTCCTTTCATCAAAAGGGGGCCCAGCTAGTAAATTATAACTGTAAGATAGAGGGTGCCCACGTCCCTCGTGACTCATTGGAGCAGAGGAAGATAGGACTAACGCTATTATTACTTAAACGAAATCCCTCATCATCACTCATCACCACTATTAATGCTAAAATCATCACCTCTCTCAGATCAATGACTTACATTTATAATCCTGGAATCTCTATCCGCTATTACAGTTAATTGATATACTAAGTATGCATGTAATACACTATTAGACACAATCATGCGCACTTTTTTCTACTAATCAGATGGCGTCAATCTCATATAAATGGGCAAGGGAACCCCCCCCCCCCCCTAAAAACCTGTAAGTTACAGTGTAATGCATGTAGACCTACACGGACATCCTCCCGCAGCTGTTTGATCTGGTTCTTGAGGGAGCTAAACCTTTCCCCGGAGACGAGAGCCACAGAGGTCAGAGCCATCAGTACAAGCAACACTTGGAACTTCATTGTGCAGGGTGGTCTGGGGAGAGGAGTCAAACTAGTAACACGCCAAGTAATAGTGTTGCTCTCTGTAGGGAAAATTTCTAATCTTAGACTAGACACTCATATGACCTAACTTTGCCAGTGCTGGAAAACTAAATAAAAAGTGCGTTTTTGTTAGATGCGGGTAAAGTAAAGCAAGCGAAAGGTGAAATTGCGTAATTGAAGGTGTCGGTATTTTTAATGAGAAAAATAACACTGTCTAACATGTGTACAGTGGCGAGAAGCTTAAGTCACTCGGGCCTATTCCCGTGTATCCACGGGACGAGATGCCGGCCCAGCGGCCCAGTCTCGTGTATTTACAGGATGCACTTTATCCTTCTTTTTTTTCAGTGTTTTTCGATTACAAGCTATGGGAAGCTGCGAGCCAACAGTAGACTCACTTGTTTCGTTTCGTTAAAAATTAGGTGAAGCTATGTACGATACTTTTTATTTTTTGCTGTAACGGACTAAGTCAG